ACAATTAACATTATAAATAATAATATTTTTGGGTTATCAAAATTTGTATAATATTATTTTCTTTATAATCTACATCCACATGAAGATTTTAGTAGATATTTTAACTTGTAAAGAGACACAACATAAGACCTTACAAGCAATATTATTAGTAAATATTGGAAATTTATACCCCTGTATTTCCGTTCTTCATTCTAAGCCTAGTCGGTGATGAACGGTAGGACGTTAAACCCCATTTCATTTCATTTCACCCCTTTATTTACAGTTATTGCAGGAACCACGCTTGATCAGGAGTAAGGCGCCGGCTCACTAGCCAGGGTGGATCCCGGTATTGTCCGAGGGAGGTCCCCTGGATGTTTCGGTGTGATTTTCCCTTGTCAGTCGTGTAAAAAGCACCGAAGTGAAGGCGGAAACGTCGCAATCCGGCAAAATTCCCTCGTAGCACACAGCATATACTTTTCTTCATAAACACTGTCCGGGTATGGTTAACGTGTGCGTGTTGGATCAGAAGGTCTGTCATTGGCAATGAGACAACTGGCGTGGTTTCGATTCCCCGCTTGTACTTGCCAAGGTGTAGGGTCGCCTACCCTTATGTTATCTCAATTTATGTTGAGATAAATTTTAACCTTATGTTAGTCCCGAAATGACCTAGTTTGTGTCGATTGGAATTTACCCCCCCCCCTCTCTCTCTCTCTCCCGCTCTCTCTCTCTCTCTCATAAAACTCGTCGGTTTAATTGGTCGCAGAGTGAGTGGAAACGCCAAATTCTTCTCCAAACAATACATTTTATCTTAGTCTAAAAATAACTGAGGCATTGTGTTGATGGGTCGTTCTACTGTCGAGATTGCCGAAGGAACAGGTTGTCATATAATACGTTGTTATTTTGTTATTCCAAATATTATTTTACAATTATGTTATAAATTGAGCCCACTTCGCACATGGTCTGACATTTATTAATGGCTCAATTATATAACTAAATGTGAATATAGCTACATGTATACGACATTTATAAATCAAAACACAGTAATGGATAGAAATAAAAACTGGTTTAACCTCCCTATTTTCTGCACCGACGGGCATCCACGGGCATGAAGACGGACATCCATCAAGCAGTGTGCTTTAAGGGACATTTTGCCCGAACAGCGGCCATACGGCCTACTTTTATATAGAATTCCAACTGTCGATGGTTCTTTAACGTGCAGTGTGCTATATAGGACATTTTGTCATGACAGCGGCGCTACAACCTACTCTTATATCGAATTCCGACTTGTCGAGGGTTCTTTAACGTGAACACCAATATGTACACGGATTTTTCGTTCCATTCGAACTACTAGACGCTGTTCCTTGTCAGACCCCGCCCTTTACTACTGACAATGGGAAATCATTCCAGAAAATCTCGAGCAACTATCGCGGCTGTTGGTTTGTTGTTTTTCTTTTGTTTTTTTTATTTTTCGTCTTTGGTTTCCTGGCTGGGACTGCGACTTTAAACAAGTGTCAGCCAAACCGTGCCGTGGATTATTGTGTCTTTATTTGGCTATGTGATTTTCCTGAACTGACTAGGACCGTCACTTTAAAATATTGATTATAACGCACGTGTAGTACGTCAAAACAACTAATCCCTCACTTTAACGATTTAATTAACAATATTAATAATTAATGGCTTCCATGACATGCCTTCGTAAACACCGACTAATTAAAAACGCTGTCATTAAGAATATAAAAATGTTTCATTGATCCAGGTGGTAATTTCCTGACGAGAATAAATCTCTGATGATAATACACCTTCTTGCCTCATTAAATACAATAATAGCCCTCTCTTTCTCTGTCTCTCCCTCTCTGTCTCTCCCTCTCTCTCTCTCTCATTAAATAATATACAACAAACGGCAAAAATGGTTAAATAGCAGGATGGTTATTCCTACACGAATTATTTAAAGTCCCTGTGCGTCATTTAACTTTTGGAGGAAATGTCAATGGTATTTTCACGAAATAATCCACCCTAAAAATCATAGTTGGCACTAGCATGTGTTAACCATTTCCATATATCATCTGCAGACAAATTTTCAATTCATTACAAATAATACTGAAAAGAATTGAACCATTTTATTGACTGTTGGTAAGTCCAGTATTTCACCAAATTGTTAGTTTGTTATGATGGACTTCCGGTCAAAATACTATTCACCTTTTGTGAAGACAACCCGTGATAGAATATAGTAGGGTTGCAACTCGGGAAGGTTATTTATGATTTAGTTTCTATAGTTTTAGTTTTAACATGACGTTTTATCGTTAAATAAAATATAAATTTTCGTATTCCACCCATGATAATGTCCCTTTAAGTAACCCTAAAATTACCATCTAAATTGTACATATGTTTTTGATACTGTATTTTTGTGTTCATATTATGATTGCCAGTTGTGAACCTGTTAAAGAAGTGATTTTATATAAGCTGATAAAGTTTGTTATCGTATCCTGTATATATTATATGAATTTTGTAAATTTAAATTAATAAAATATTGTTTCGCCCCCTCCCCCACAAAAAAAAGCCGTTTTATCATGGCGTCGTCATGTTAAAACTAAAACTATAGAAACTAAATCATAAACAACCTTCCCGAGTTGCAACCCTTATCCAAGAAACATGTCTATTGATTCCCTTTCAATATTGTGAAAGACAAATCTCTAATAGGAATGCCCGTCTTCATTAGCCCAGTCGGTGCAGAACAGTAGGACGTTAAACCCCATTTCATTTCATTTCTAATAGAATTATCAGTGCTTACAATGTTCAATTCCGTTTAGTATTTACAAAAATATTTGGAATTGAAAGTTCATCAATATTTGCAGATCGACGCCATTTTGTTGTCTGCGAAAATGTATTGATAGTCCTGTTTTAAATCCCTTTGAATCCAAGTCGGAAGATTATCTACACCTGATACGTTGGTAAATAATCAATACGAGTACAATGTAGTAACGTGGGTTAAGCCGTGCGAAATAAAACATTTTAGCTAAAATTATCATTAGTGCATTACTGTTAACCATACACCTACCAGTTGTTTCGACCGTTAGCTCCAGCCCCTGTATAATATAAAGCCCCTTGTTTAAACAGATATCGACCTAATATTAATCTTGTTCCCCATTGTCAGTGGTGCAGGTCAGAGGGCCTGTCAATGGACATCGTGTAGTCTTTCGGATGCGACGGAAAACGGCACACTGTATGGCGTATGCCCGTCTTGATTAGCCCAGTCGGGGTAGAACAGTAGGGCGTTAAACCCCATATCATTTCATTTTCCTGTATAAATATAGGGACTGGTTATTTAGACAGAGATCGTCACTATCTATATAAATATACTTTAGAAACCAATAATAATATATTCTATTATAATACAAAAAAAAGTCAACCGGCAATAAGAAGGAACAGGTGGTGGATATTACGTATATTACCAACCTGATGAGAGAATGAGTACTGTAACCACAATTTCAATATGAGGGAGATATTCCTTGTCGCGTGTAAGTGTACGATCGGATCCACACCATTTGACTCAATGACAGACCTTATGATGTAAAGCAAACGCGTTAAACCAAACGATTCCCCATAAATGAAAATAATAGAATGGTGTTTAACATCTTATACTGGGTTCCCACTATCACGATTAGTGGTACGATTGAAATCGTGGGGTTTTTTTTATCGAGGCGCAATCGCGGTGATAATATCTGGTCTGATCACACGTTTGAGGTCAATCGTAGCAATCGTGTTGACCGTATCGAAAGTTATCCGAACGTATCTGCACGTAACAGATCGTGGGGTGAGGGGGGTGGTCGAATGGTTAGCGTGTGTGCGTTGTATCATAAGGTCTGCCATTGAGTCATTGATTCTTCTGTTGTACGTGACAAGGAGTAGGGTCGCCCGTCCAGCCTCGTGGGTTTTCTCAGGTCTAACGGTTTCCTCCCACTGCTAAAGACCCCTACGCCCAAGCAAATTGGACCATATGTTAGTCCCGAAATGACCTACTTTGTGTCGAGCGGACGTTAAACCCCTTTTCGCTCTTTTTCTCTAGCAGATCGTGAACACAATAGGGACAATCCTATGGTAATGCATCGCACGGCAGTGGGAACCTGGCAATATCAACACGTCACTCACTTCGTTTTAAACTATAAACATTAAGCTAATACGGTTGCCAATAATTGAGTGTTCAATGTTTCGAGGAACTGCGTTAATTTCTACATCAACCATTCTTAGCATTCCAACCTCAAACCATTTACTTACTTGCATTATCAATGTATACACGGAACCTGGTCTTTTGTACCCAGAAATCTTCCAGGGGCAAATGGCTTCTTAGAATTAATTATCCAGTAAATACAATTAATGCTTCGTTTTTACCGTTTACATAACAGGCATGTATGTTAGGGGACTACTGATGCCCGGTTCCGCTCTAGACAGCCCTGTATTAAAGATGCATTATGTAAGATTTGGGTAAAGAGCTGACAGTCCTCGCTATAATAGTTTAAACATAGATAAAGAAAAAGTAGCATGTTGAAAATTTCAGTTAAATTACTTTATTCTGAGCGAAGTTATCAATGTTAGAATTTTTTATAGGCATAGCGTAGAGTCGATTTTCATTGCTAGCCCACCATTGTTACGATAATAAACAAAGTCGTTAATCCATTTTAAAATTATAGTATTAAATGACTATCGTTTTTCGTATCGTATGGCTATCTGATATTCTAGAGAGTTGACTGTGGGCTTGTCATGTGAATAATTGTCTAATTAATAATCTATATAGTATAACATTTGAGGCCAAACGAAAGACGTTGAATAGGCCGATTTAGCTTTTACATAATGTTTCTTTAATACCAGAGTGGCAATCCCCAATGTAATTGATTTGTTATAATGTGAACCAAATAATTTCAATCCAGGCCTACCCCTCTTTACAACGAAACAGTTGTCGTAATTCATGAAAACCGCTAGGTGGTTACATACCCTGGATCAGACTGGACGATGGAGAACAAACCGTGTGTAGTTTACAAACAATTTAATTTCAACTTTGGGTAATAGCAAATATAATGGCCATGAGCGTGAAGCCAACAAACGAACATGAAATCCTTTTTAAATCACCTTGTCCTTCTAAATCCTTAAATAAAATGTCGAAAAATATGATATAAATGATTGTTCCGGTTGCTAGGCTTTGTAAAATGGCGTCCGGTACGCTGACGTCATCATACAACATGGCGCCTGACGATATGACGGTACCGATCACAATACCGACAGCAGAAATCAAAGTAAAAGTACCGACACATAAAAATGCCGTTCCTTGTTTTTCGTTCGTAGAACATAAATCCATTCCTAATTTAAAAGCAAGAACACATCGATGTACACTGATGGCGAAACACAAACTCCAGACGTGATTCTCGACACTTTGTAAACCCAGTGCCATTCCTTCAAAAATTCCGTGAAACGCCAGCGCCATTAGATATATAATAGAACGATAATGACCGCCATTCGTGACGTCACCTTTACTTAGTTCACTCACTACTTTTTTAACCTCCAGTTCCTGAAGAGGCGTTGATTCGATCTCATAATCCACCGTTTCCGGGATAACTTCAATTTTATCCATGTCTTCTAGCACGTGGTCCGTGTGATTTGGTAACGGCAGCGAATTTAAACTCACTCCATCGAATGTGTCTGATAAATGATTTGAATTGATGTTAAAATGGTCTTCACTATTGTTTAGATTATTTCTATCACACTGGTTCGTTTTTTCTTCAGAATCCTCGTAAGTGAGAGCACGAACGTATAAAAGTTGAATTATTTGTTCCACGAACACCACGGCGTAAAACCCCGCCATTATAAGAAGTTCGGCGACGGCGAACGTCGACCGGGAACCCAAGTTTCTCATCACGGCTTCCACCTTTGCGATGGTATCAGGAACCAGGTGCAGAAAGCACGTGGCTAGAAATAATCCGCCCGAAAAGCATCTTAATCCACACAAAACATATTCCACCGTTTCCTTGTGCTGGTTTAAAACTTTCGGTACGTTTTTCATGAGTCGAAGGGGGGATAACCCAGCAAGAACGGAGAAAGTGGTGATGAGGAGGAGAGAGATGATTTTTGCCACCACCACCTCCATGTCTATTTCTCGTGTCGTCATTGAGAAAGGTAAAAACTTTCCTCTTACCTTTACCACCTGACAATATCACTCATCATACATCCCTTTCATCTATACCGACTTAATCTCTTTGATGTTCCACAGGTAATCCCTTTGAAGTCATGTCGGCGGATTACCCTCAGATGTCAATGAGCGGTTGTTATAATACTCAGTAACAATTCGTCTGCTACAGATTGACACCGTGAAATGCGAAATTATTGAACAGTAGCGAACTGTCTAACACATTATTGATTGTCACGTGACATAGTTTCCGTTTGGCACGAGGAGAAGAGAAGAGATTATTGTCTCGAGAGCGCGTGGAACTTGTTCCTACCAACAGGTTGTCTGATATCACGTCGTATCGCATCTTTAGATGTGTAGTAGATATTGTCTCGGCATAACCGAGTGGTGAATTCTGTATTCAATCTGTATAATTAACCATCGATCTCCTTTAGCTAATTAGATAATGTCTTTAATAATGGCGGAGATTTCTGTAATAATGAAGAATAATATCAGAAACTAATTACATTCAGGCGGGGAGGCAGAACGAAGGGAGTAGAGCATGTTAAACAAACCTTCTAATTATCTCCCTTTCATGTCCTTTAGATTCATATGTTGGGAGTGGCGGGTGGTGTGGGGTGTAGATGTTCAAAAACACTGTTTCATGGGCCGAGAAGAAATTTCGAGATTTTTGAAGCTCCGCTCCCACTTTTCATAGGTTGCGCCTGTTGGGGTGGAAAGAGAAGTGTACCTAGTCTTTCGGATGAGACACAAACCGCCACCTCTTGTACAAATTGTTATTTGAAGAAGAGTGGGCGGAAACACCGCTGCCCGGACAGAATTCTTCCCCTCACAGTGCAAATGTTACCATAAAGATACAAATGACCATGCTTATTTAAACGTATTTCCTATATTTGGATTGCTGTCTGCGACATCACCTCGGTGGAAGCGGGTGTTAAATAAAGCTATTTCACACAATTTGGATTGCCAGTGTGGCAGAACGGTGGGTCTGGCAAGGTACAACGTTTTGGCCTTCGGTTGCCGAATAGGACGAAAACAGCGGTAAACGTTTAAAGAAAAATCGTTGACAGGGTCCGGTCAGAATCTCATTTCCTGAATGCCCGACTCCAATAGTCCGGGGGATCACGTGGCTAAGTGGGTAAGGCGCTGGCTCGCTAGCCTGGAGGTCGGGTGTTCGATCCCGTTTGGTGCATAGCAGAAGAACGATTCAAATAGCTGCTAACGGATACCAATACTGGCTTCATGATTTAAGACCTCAAAGGCTGAAAAGCCTTAAATTTTTGTCACGAAGGATTGATCCCACCCCTGTTCTTTCGTCCATCGATTTCTACTCCCGTACGTGACAAGGAATAGGGTCACCTGTGCATCCTCGTGGGTTTTCTCCCCCCCCCCACCTCTAAAGAACCGTAAGCGAAAACGAATTATTGAAATAAAATTGAACCGCGTGTTAAGTCCCGAAATGACCTAGCCTGTGTTGAGTGGCCGTTAAACCCCATTTCTCTCTTTCTCCTTCTTCCCTTGATTTCTGTTCCCAGGTTGTGTTTGACCGTGTAGTGGTAATATAAAGAGACTGGTTCATGTTAACAAGTAGTCCGTAATAACTAACTGTATTATTACACGATGCCTTGTCACTCAACTTCTGTTGATACAGTCAACACCGCTTCAATAACGTCTCGTCTCACTTCATATCTTACAACTAATATTTGTTTCTACTAGAGAGAAGATACGTCATATAATAAAACCCTTCAGTCTAGTAATAAGGCAGCAAGAAGAATGGTTAGAATTGAACCAGTTGATATTCAGTTCATAAAAAATGGTGTCGCCACAATATAAACAAACCCAGAGAAAGAGTTTCTATAAATGGAAGCGAAGAGTCCTGAGAGGTGATCATTCATATTAACAAACTCTTCATAACAACAGGATTCTTAGAGCCGAGCCGCTAATATCAGACTCGACACACAGTTGATTGGGTGTAGTGAGTCTTGCCATAGAAAAACAGGACAGAGAAATAAATTCATCTAAACAATTCTTCATATTCAAATATGCTGATCGTCATTTGAGGGGGTTTGAACACAGCACGATTCTTGGAGCCGAGACGTTAATATCAGATTCGATGCACAATTGGTAGGGTGTACAGAGTGTCACCGTAGAATAAACAATTACCAGAAATAATATAGAACCAAACCAGAGGCGTCATGTAATAAAACCCTTCATATTTAAACCCGCTGATTATCTTCTTAGAGATTTTGAAAAGCCACAGTATTGTGAAAGTAAATTATACTAAACTTAGGCTGCCTGTCTACAGTTAGCTCCGCTTGAGCACAAACACTAAGCTAGTTGACCGACATTTTAACTCCTAAATCAACGATTTTAGTCGAAAACACTAAGCATATTTCGAGAATTTTGAGAGGTATATATTCTGCTTTCATTTAATAAAACTGAAAAGGTTAATTAATTAGCCCCTTTGTGTATAGAAGATGTGCACCGGAGTAGGACCACAGTATTGGTGAATATGACAGCCATTTAGGTCAGAGATCTATTATCGAAGTATGAAGTAAATGGATCCCTGTGTGTAGAATGAAGTTATATCAGACCCACCTCTTTAGACTAACTTCAAATAAATAGTCAGAAGTAGAATTAAGCCAAGATTATTAAATCATTTGTCCATATAAAAATAAAGTAGAGTACTGTTTAGCCAGGCAGTTGTTAGAGAGTGTCACAATAATAAACCAACAAATTGGTGAAAATACCTTAGTAAACTCACGAGCTTATAATTGCACAATAATAAACTAATTACCTATTTGTATAAATGCCTGTTATGCCCTCTTTTCTCTGGTTTATTTTTTATTCTTCGTGTAATTGCGAATGAAGTACGTCTATTTAAGGCAATTGTCTCTTTTACTCTTTTTGAATGACCTTTTTAGTTGCCTAGAATTTTTTTTATATTTTATTAAATAGTCATGATTTTGAGGTGCAAGGACCAGGAAGTAAACATACCTGCATCAGGAAAATCCAATCTGTTTCACAGAGTATTACGAACTAATATCTCTGTAAAAGATGACTACCTCCAGCACGTGACGTCTCATCACGCGGCGTCTATCATTGGCTCAATGACGCGTGCATTGTTTACATAAGACCTCACTGGTTCGGGCTGAATGGAGCCTTTTACTAATTTAATACCATTTTTACACTAAATAGGAAATAATTTTTACCTACAAATACGTCAAACGTCTTTATTTATTTTTCTAATACATAAAAAAAATGTTTTAGAATTTAATTTGTCTGAGAAAAAAAGTTAATATTTGTGGCTCATTAAGTCGCATCTTTGTCATCCTTATCAGTGATTGTCGCGGCCTAGCGAATATTCACTGCTGATCAGTGTGAGGAAAATCTGGTACAAATATGACAAAATCAAAAGAAATGGGGTTTAACGGTGCACCACACACACACATTTTGGGGTATTAGTCACTCTGATTAAAATACAGATCCATATTTCGTTTCGTTTTTTTGATTCTTTCGTGGCCTACTCTACATGAAAATCTGACCGGTTGTATAGTAAAAGGTCACGTCAATTAGTTCGTACGAACGACTTTTGACCTTATGACGACAGACAGTGATAATCAATCAGCATTGGCGTTTCTAGTGGTTTACCCACAGTTAAGTTCATCGCACGTCAAAAAGTCGCCGTGACAGATGGTTTCATTGGCTAATCACTCACGCCATCCAGAACGCAGTTTATATAACAAGTCTTCCAGATCCTAGTGTAGTACAGACAAATAAAACGAAATTTTGAACTATAAGAAACGAAACGAAATAGGAGCTGTGTTTTAATCAGACTGGGTTTCAGTACAAGGTTAAAGGGTCCATTGGTATGATCGAGAGATTCGCGTTGTTACGCGCCCAGAATACACCTCGAAATGCAACAAATAAAATCTATTTTTCAAACTTTTCTGTTCTGCGAGAGGTCTAGACCCTACGCTTTTTATTTAATTCAGCATCCCCCCCCCCACAGCATTGACAAGGTTACTGGGGTCGATGACATTAGCTACTTAAATCATTACTTTTTCGGATATTGTAAAACAAGAATTAATAAAAGTAATGTGACCCGCTGGTGTGGACATAAAGACGACATTTACGCGAAAGATATTCTGCCTTTGAAATTTTCCTTTGCTTTATATTGAACTGGAATTGTAGCCATTAATGCATCTCATGTTTAACATGACGTCTCGTTTCCTCTACTACAGAAATATTTTCTTTCAGGCATTAATAAAAGAATTTTAAAAGAGTCGAGATAAAGTAAATGACACTTTGATCTTTCTAGTTTTATCTGACGTCATCCTTTGTGATCTGATCAAGTCTAAAGTCAACAGTTAGTGTAACGTTGGAGTGATGGTAATCAGAGAGAAAGAGAGAGAGAGAGAGAGAGAGGGGAGAGAGAGAGAAATGGGGTTTAACGTCCACTCGACACAAACTAGGTGATTTCGGGACTAACATGGTTTTTAATTTTATTTCAATAATTCGCTTGCGCGTAGGGGTCTTTAGCAGTGGGGGGAAACCGGAGGACCCAAAATAGTTCATATTGGGACCAACATGGTTAGCTTGTATTTTTTCAATAATTCGCTTGCGCGCGCGCGTGTGTGTGTGTGGGGGGGGGGGGGGGTCGAAACCAAGCCACTTGACTATAACGCCCCCTGGACACAAAATAGTTCATATTGGGACTAACATGGTTCAGTTGTATTTCAATAAACCGCTTGCGTGGGGGGGGGGGTCGAAACCAAGCCACTTGACTCGATGACAGACCTTATCATTTCACGCGCACGCGTTAAATCACTAGACCACCAACGCCTCCTGTGTAAACATCGAAGTCCAGATCACAAGGGGTATGCTCATCTTTATTAGCTTGGATTGTGCAGAAAAGTAGGACGTCAAACCCATTTAATTTCATAGCACACTGCATGGCGCATGTCTGTTTTCATTATCCCGACTGGCGCAGACGTACGCCTATAATTGACACTAAATTTCCCTTTCGTGTATTTTAATCAATGATGAAACAAAGGGGAGACAATCTGGATAGATGATTGTCTTTGGTGTCGTTGTTTTTTTATTATTTCTATCAGAGAGTATATATTGTCTTCTAGACTCAGTTACTGAGCTATAATTACATCGCGAGATTTAGTTTCTTTCTTGCACGAGATGT